GTAGGAGCACATGGAGGTGATGGCTCTCCCGTGCGCTGGCGACACGTTCGACAGATGCAAGCAACGTCATTGGCGCATACCACCGCAAATTGGTTGGTGCATGGCGGCCGCGGTAAAGTGTAATCGTTGGGAGTGAGCAACTGGCTCACGAGGGTGATCGAAATGCGTAGCGACTACCAGCACTCGAGATCCCGAGCGGCTACCCACAAGGCGTGAGCTCAGGGCGAGCACGCAGTGGGTTGGATACCGCAAATGCTGGCGATCCCACACGCGAGTGAAGGTCGCTCATGGATGCGGTTTTTCGATTGGCAACACTGACAAGCAAAGTAGTGTGATTGGCTATCAGATCGAAGGCGTCATTCATTAAGCTATAACTCGTTCCCAGTGCAGCACGCGTGCATGGAGGCAGGAATCACTGACGGTGTACAGATCGAACCCTTGTATACTACAGACGCAAGTCGTTTGGGCAGGTTTCCCAAAGCGTGGCGAGCGCGTCGTCGCCCGTGACGCGCTGACCTACATATCGTTGCACGCGGTGTAATCGGACGAGCGCAGTGAAGGTTCCGCGGCGCTGTCCTGTACGTTACTGTCCTTTGATCTCGAAGATCACAACACAGTCGACTAGAGTGACTTGGGTTGACTAGAGTGCCTTGGGAAGATGCAAGCACCCTCCAGCAGCCTTGAGTACCCCGTTTCGACCATGCGACCAGGCACGTGACATTGCCTGCATCTGTCGAACGTGTCGCCAGCGCACGGGAGAGCCATCACCTCCATGTGCTCCTACGTGAGCCGAATTTCTATGGCACCTCGTGGCATCACACACATGCTTCTACGGCCTGCAAAGATTGGTGCACTTCGAGGCGCACACACGTGGCAGCGCGTCGACGCAGTTTCGATACCACCCACTTTTCCTTTGCCTCGCCTGAGCAGCTACCGACATGCAATCGACGCCCCAGCACGACTCTGCGCCGCAAGCCGGCAGCTACAACAGCGACGCCGCGGGCCTCACGCTCGGC